TAATCTTATTTATTGCCGACTGTAGTTGTTCGTAGAATTTTATCGCATCTTGGGTCCTCTCCTTTTCTGGTGCGTACAAGGCAGACTGAAATGTAACATCTATCTACTTTAAATATCATTGTTATTATTATTTCGTTTATGAAAGTATACGATACTATCCTGTTTTTCTGATCCAAATAGATATTCCAGCCGATGCTGTTTTTGGGGGGACTCCACTGTATATCATTATATAATTTTGTAATTCTGATGAGCCCCTGCAGAGGGCTGCTACTTCCGCTCCTCAAGCCACTGTGATATTCGCCTGGATCCACATTGCCTCTTGGACCGTTGTAGTCTTCACACATACTCTGTTCTGGTTAGGGATACTATCCCAGGAGAATTAATGAGAAGAAACAGATAAATTGTAGAGAAGAGAAGAAAAATAATTAAGTCAAGAACAAAGTAGATTAAGAAATGAATGACACCCTAGCCCTCGAAACCTAATAGCGTCGGGGCCTAAGATATAACAAGGGATCAAGAGAGACCAAATATAAAATATTATAGAAATGTAGCATAAGTAAGTGGAGGGAGTGCTACATTAGGTTTGTGGACCTTTAGCATTACCCAGGAGTCACCACGAGGAGGCAGTCCACTAGCTGACTGCCCGTGCTATTGTGAACCATAAAACGTTTGCAGTTCGTGGATCATTCTCTTGGAACTTCGGTGAGCGGTCCCACATTTTTTTCGCTTCAGTTACAACAAAAAATTTGTATACCAACAATGGAATTATTTACATCAACCCACGTGTTTGCTTGGAGAGTTTTGCCGTGTTTTATACCCATACCTTTGAATTATACATTTGATGCCAGAAATTGTTACATTACATTTAAAAAATGTAAAAGCACTTTTTTATTTTAATGTGACACTTACAAGCAGTTGCCGAAGAGAATTAGATACATTAAGATTAAATCTAAAATAATTTCATATTATTTTTGCCAAATATTCTCCCTATTAACATTTAATAGCAAGTACTGAAATCACAAGTTTAATCCCACAAAAACAAAATTAAACAAAACTCAATTTCAAAAAAAGTTGTCAATTCATTATTTTGGTCCCTCGTTTTACTTAAGTCATCTGCAACTTGTGGCACACAAACAAATATATGAAAATTTAAGTTTTTTTACATTTCATGAAAATAATTTATTAGTTTCAATCCTACCTTATTGATAGCTGTGTGCTGCAAGTTGCAAATTACTTCAGTGAAAATAGGGTCTGAATAAATTAATACAATTCAACTCGATCACATTAATCTCAAATGTTTTGTAGGCATGAAAACCACAAAGAGGAAAATGAACAAATATGATAGCATTTGAAATACATAAATTTGGGAAATCAATATGAGAAAAAAACTTGATGGATATATTTACAAATGCTACATTGTATTTGAATTAATTATTTACATTATTTTTATAGGTTATCTCAGTTCCAAGAGATCCTGAAAAGTAATATACAAGTTTTGAATCTGAGAATGCTACAAATGTGGCCACATAGTAAAAACCAGACGTGTGTGTACATGAACATTTTGGAAGGAACACATAGCACTGCATGCAATATTTTTAATACACAAGGCTTACTCCTTTAGAATATGATCAAGAGGTCAAATTAAAATCCATTGTATTTATGAAAAATGTGCAATAAACAGAACTAAATGCTTCAAATTTCTGGAATACACAAAATATGCATAATGTTTCGTAGCTCAGACTAATATTTAGGACATTTTTCAAGTTTGTGAGAGATATCAGCTCCAAAAAATATGCAATTACATGAACACAGCTTTACAAATAACAATTATATACAGGATGTATATAAACATTTCTAAACTTGAGAAAAGATGAATACATCTTAGTCTGTAACATTGTCATCATGTTGAAGTATTGATTACTTTTGTCTAACACTGCAAGGATTGAAATATTATGTTTTTAACATTGTTTTATTCAACAATTTTGCTGCAGTCATTAGCACAATGATACAATGTCTTCCAACAATTATTAAATTTAATTCTTATACTGAAATTGAAAATAAGTTATGAATTAATTTGGGTGTCAAGTTACACACATGAAATACTTAAATTAATGATAATTTAAAAACAACGGGGAAGGGATATGACTAAATGCAATTGAATAATTTTTGCCTAGGTGGAACAAGTTTTAGTGTGTCACAGCCTCTGTTCAAAATTTAAAATATACCTTATCTCATTTATATTCCATGAGAAACTTTGCCGTTATCAAATATATGTAATTACTGATTTGATTTTTGACAGCAACAGATCTGAAATTACAGATTAGATGCAAGTGGGAAGACAGAAAAAGTAAATTCCGGTGCGTTTGAAAACTAGAAATAAAAACCTTCCTATAAAAAAGGACTTGAGTAATTGATTGTCATACCTTATTGTGCACTGAAACAATAGATTGACAAAGCATGTTATTATTTTAGGCTTAAAGATGAAAATAAATTAATAAAATTAAAATCAGTAAATGAATTTAATAAATTTGATACAAAGAGATCATATAAATTAATGAAATTTATTAAGAGACAAAACAATTCATTGGGTTCACTCACGTGCTTGCATCTCTTATAACCAACAGTCAACAAGCTTGGAAATGTGTCACAATATTAGTTCAGATTTAGCTTACCTGTAATTGAATTCCGGAAGACATCAATTTTTCATTTTACAAAAATAAATTTAGGCACAAGGAACCTTTCTGAATACTCAAAATACATTCATTTATTAAAGGAATCAGAGAAGGGACAATGGAATTTAATATCCCTGAAAGAACATCAGATTGCTCGAGGTTCCACAATTCTCTTCATTATAAAATAAAATGTGAGTATTTCTTTACTTAAAAAGTTGTTGAACTATAGCAAAGATTAATAACTGATGAACTACAAACTCATCAAAATATTCCAGTGTATAATGATGCAAATAAATCAGTTTGTTAACTTTTTTCACTTATACATGCTACATTTTAATGTGAATGCTGGTGTGTAACACCACACCGAACAAACTAACATTCCCAGAATTTCTTAAATTCACAAGCACAACACCAAAGGATGACACCGTAAGGTGACATCAAAACAAGGCCTACCAAGGTTTACAGACCTATGATATTCAATTCAAAAGACATGCAACTTAACTTGGTTATTTAAAAACAGCGTTTATTCATCCTTCTCTAAACACACATTCAACAACATCATGTTGTACATCATCTCGTATACTACTCCCCCTTTTTACAATCATTTTGCATGTGTAGTTTTGTTTGCCAGTCTTTGATGAATTAATCAGCAAATTCTTTGACAAACACATTTCAACACTTTATATAAACAAATTTACTCCCAACTTTTCCGAAGTAGGCACTGGATTCACACACACACACATGCATTCATCTTCAGCATAATGCCAAACCTGTAATGAATCATAAATTATACATGAAAATTAGATATTTTATTTGAGGAGATAATAATGGACAACATTAACCTCACAAAAACATTTAACCATTTACCTGTGTGTGAAAGGATAACACCATAAGGTGACATTAAATAAGGCCTACTTTTCAGATATGTGGATGTCCAATTCAAATCACATGCAACTTAATTTGGTTATTTAAAAACTGCCTTCATTTACTCATAGACCCACACATTTCTCGAAATACACATCCAACAATATCAAGTTGCACATTATCTCGCAGTTCCCCTTTTTATAAACATTCTGTATGTGTAATGTTTTCTGCCAGTCTTTAATAAATTAATCGGCATCTCTGGCAAACACATTCCAACGCTTTGTATAAACAAATTCATTTAATATAACTGCGAATTTACTCACAACTTCTCCAAACTATGCAATGGATTTACACACACACACTCGTATTCCGCAAAATGCTGCACCGGAAATGAATAAATTATACGTTAAAGTTAGATATTTTATTCGAAAAGAAAATAATGTATATAAATTGAAATTTTACCGCTTATCTGACTGCTAATGGACATTCTTATGGGAAGAAATTGTTGCGCAAGATACTCATCATATTTTTACGTCCTTTGTAAACTTAAAAGATGTGAACATTGTCTCCAGGGGCATATAATTTCTATTGATAAGGCACCATAAGGCACTATTTCACACTCAAAAATACAATGCCCATCACAGCCCGCGTCCCACACATGTGACGGCTGTAGATTACGCATCATAATAGCAAATACTCTAATAGGTGGCGCCAAAAAAGGTTGGGCAACATTACCATACTAAGGGCCTATTTCACCGGTGCCTGATGAAGTTGCAGATAGTAATCCGACAGTTATTTTATCCGTCAGATAAAAGTTCCTGATATTTATTTTGCGTTTCACCCAGGTGTTTCCTTTTAAACTATCTGACAAATATCTGTCTGATAAATAATCTTCCTGATAACTATTTCACTAGCGGCAACGCCGCATTTTCGACTCAAACGCGCGAAATACGAGCGAATTCGAATGTTATGCTGCTCCAAGTGACCAAGTGTGTGAGATGTGAGGTGAGGTAGTTTTCGCTTCTTTCGTTGTGAATTTGTGTTATTACAGTATACTCCTCAGTAAACTGTGTGTTTTATTACACTATACTTTTTTTTTGTAATTCAAAATGGAAAAGGGACAAGGAAAAAAGAGAGAAAGAGGTGTTAATTTTACTCGCGAAGAAACCGAGAGACTTGTGTCCCTCGTTGCGGAGAGGAAAAACATTGAATGCAAAATAAATGGTGCTACGACGTGGCATGATAAGGAAATGGCTTGCTCTGCTATTGACAGGGCTTTCAATAGCTCGATGGGCGGTATTTTTCGCAAAGCAAAAAATCTTAAAGGCAAATATGATTCTCTGAAGAGGGATTTACGCAAACAAGTTGCTGCTCTTCGGGCACAAATGTATAAAACTGGCGGTGGCACAATAAATGTACCGCCTTTAACTCCATTAGAAGAAAAAAATAAAAGCAATGATTTTATTGTCTGTAGCAGGTGGCGAGAGCATTTATGATTCGAATAGAACTATAGGTACGTTTCAATAATTAATACGAATTTGTATATCAGATACTATTGTAGTAGTATGTATTTTTAAAAGCACGACTTAAATCTTTTCAGAAATTACTCGAAGTGTGTTGATTTTGGATGGAGAGGCGTCCATTTCCTTCCCTCTAGAAGGTGAACATGAGAACGAGATTGCAAGTGCTCCGAATAAAGAATCACCTCCTAAAGGTTGTTAATGAACTAGATATTGCAGCAATGATTTGTATTTGATGTGAAATTTATAGGCAAATATATTTCTTTCAGATACATCTTAAGTAATTGCTGAGTGGCATAATCCTTTACGGAATGACATGGGTAGTAAGAGAATGAGTGGAGAGAGCTGTCAAAATGAAATAAATGATAAAACTATATCTATCTTTACACCCCTGAGTATTAATGTGACCAAGGAAAGATTAACTTCAGTTTGGTCTCATGATGAAAAAGATGAAATTTCATTAAAATTTGCCCCCTATTAATAACGTTATTCACATATTCATTTTCTCTTATCTGGAAAATAAATATATTTCATATACATTAATCTGTTTTCACATTAATATGCAAGGTATATTACTTCCTATTGTTATTCCCACTTATCATTATGTTTTCATTACAAAAATACTTCCACCATTAAATTATTTTTGAAGGTGAAACTGATATACAACCATGTTCATCAAGCCAAGTCACACTCCAAGAAAATTATGATTCTCAAACTAAATGGAAGTCGTGGAATCCTGCTTCATTAAGAAAAAGGAAGCAACCAGCCTTATGTTAGTATTTTTAAACATTTACACAAACATTTAAACATTCTCACTTCACTATTTTTATTAAATATTACTGATCAATTAAGTGAAATAACTCATCTATAATGTTGTTTTCTGTAAAATGATAGTACACAATATGTTTTTATCTAATACCATTTCATAAAAAATCATTTATTTTCTTGATACCCCAAATTATTATTCTTTTGTTCATTTAAAGCCTTTAATTCACTACAACACAATGCATTTCATTCATAATAAAATTCATATATTTCAAAGCAGGCTTATTTATTACCACAATTCACCACGTATTTTATCCTTGTGAACTATACATTAATTATATCATTTTTGTAATTATTATTATTGATAGGTAAACCAAAAGAAAAAAGGCCATTTGAGATGCTGGTGGAAACTAAACTGGAAGTGGTAAATACACAAAAGAAACTAGCTGAAGATGAGATAC